CAAATCGGCAAAGATCTACATNTGTCATTTANTTATATATTTTACTTGTTTCNGGTTTTTAGCAACTAAATAACTCACTAATTGACATATTAAAATATTTAAACAGCAATTAGATATTTACCTCTCATTGAAAAATAATGGCCTTTTATCGACATTGACACACTTAGTAGCAAAAAAATTTATTAAAATTTATTTTTAAAGTTCTAATAAATACTAAAAAACCCATTATTCCAACAAAAGTAGTCTATGGAATTTAGTATTTTGTACTCCATTAAACTATTTATATTTTTCTTTTAAACAACAGAAATTGTCTATACTTTTCATGTGTAAATATGCCCTGAATAAATAATATGATTTTAATGTTACTTCTTAGTATTACTTGGATTAGGCGAAATCGTGATTTATATTTCTCTTGACTTCATTAAACTTTTCAGTTGTGACATTAATTTAAAATATTTCTTTGTATAATGTCTATGAACCAAACTTATTACCACTGGTTTTGTCAAATTAAATAGGCTTCTCGATTTTTGATGTTATTGTTTCAAGAAAATTTTTGATTAAGTTTCTAATTGGTAAGTTAGTTTAGCGTCCAATATTAATTTAATAAACGATGACTGCTTGCTTATAAATTAGTAATTCTATATTTTTGGCATATGTATGTCGGACAAATTGTTACCATGGTTTTTTTAGCCAAGTTCAAACTTTTTTGAGATATGATTCAACCCATTTTGAAGCAAAAGATAGAAAATAAGTTGGATAAAATAGTAAAGACAGAACAAAAATGATTATTGTTGGATAAATTGGAAGAAGAACAAGTATAAAAAATAAAAAAGAGAAGAAAAAAATGTAGATAATTACTATAACTAACATAGTTTATTTAAATAAAAAATGATTATTATCATTAACGGAGTTTACAAATTCTTCATGTATGCGCATTGTGCATGTGAATCACCTTGAAATAAGAAGAAATAATCATTTTGTTTGGTTTCATGATGAATCAATATATATGGTTTCATTTTGGAGTTTATATTCTTAGAAGTTGTTGAAGAAAACAAAGAAAAGAGAAAATACTCAACTGGACGATATCAAAGCTTTAAATAAGAAATTATGTTTTTATTAAATATTGATTAAAATTTTGGAAACTTAAGTATACATAATTGGCCAATATCCAAATATTAAAATGCCATTCAATCATCTTTCGACTAAAACTTAATTCACTGAAAATACAAAACTCTTTTCGCTGATGGACTTTACTTCCAAAAATTCAAACAACTTTGACATTTATTGAAATGGTGGCTCCTATGGAACAAGAGTCTTAACAAATTATAAATGAATTTTTCAAGTGAGTTTTTAAAACTTTATTCATTCTTCCATTATATGCAAAAGACAACTATATATACTATTTTTTCTTTTGCAGATCTAAAGAGTCAGATATTTATAATTATATATGTAAAATATTTGAAGGCCATTGTGATTAGTTAGGAGGAAAACAAACAAAAAGAAATATGAAAGAATAAGACAAAAACAATGAAAAAAAACAGTAAAAAAAATAGAACAAATAAATTTTGAAAGAATAAGGAAAACAAACTGAAAACGAGGATAAAACTGCAAAAAGAAGTTGGAGAAAAATGGAAAGACTGAAATTAAAAAAAAAAATTAGCAAATTTAATTGCGAATAATTTTAAAGAAAAATTAAAGAAAACTATAACAATATAAAGGAAGATAAACAAAGGAGGACAAAAATAAAAGGGCTAATTTGCTAGATAACTAAAAAAAAACTAATAATCAAGAAAATAACAAAAGTTGAGGTATGTGGAAAAAAATTAACTATTGTGGCAAAAAATTAATTTGCTAGGTTAATTAGTTAGTTTTTAACTATTGTTTTTTGTTTGGTTATTATTCTTTCACTAATAATAAAATATTGCATATTGTTATCCACTGTTAANATTTTAATTTAACACAAAAAACGAAAAATCTATAATTTTCCACATATCTTTTAAGTTTTTCTTTTTTTTGATAACTCAGGGTAAATCCTAGGCTAAAGGGCCCAGACTAATCCCTGGGGGAAGTGCAGCCCATGGATAGACCCTCTCTCCGGATATTCAAATGGGCCGAAAGCAAGGGCCCATATCCATGTGGGTGTCCAGAATAATGTGACTTAGTTTCGCGTAGCATGTGGATCGAACCTGGAACGTGTTGGCGTCCCAGTCCCGTCTCCTTACCACTTGACCACAGTGTTNTNGACACATATCTATAAGTTCAAAACTAACATTACATATTTTTTTATAAATAATAAATTGGATTGTATAAATACGAAAGTTAACTTATTTTCTAAAACATTTCATACCCGCACACAGTGCGGGTTAATAATCTAATTTAAAATAAACTTAAATACAAGGAAACGTTATAGTCTTCTGAAGAAAACTGAACCACTATATGATTAATTAGCCCTCGAATGGGTAAAGTTTCAATTGAATGAGCAACACAGATTTGGAATATGCAACCACTCACTTTTTTATCTTTGAAACCAGCATTGTAGGATGAGACTTCCCCAATTTGAGCAACTGTGTTGACGATTATGTTAGTGGTGGACTTTTTAACTTTGACGATTTTGTTATAATTCTCTACCTATTAGACTATTGTTTTCTTCTTCTTCTCAATAGCGACTACTAAATATATTTTCTGAGCGTGTCATAAACTACCTCAAAAAATACGCTTAGATCGAAGTTTATATTCAAAGATTGAATAAAAATGGATGATAATATATTGGCTAAATACATTATATATACAACTACGATATTTGTCATGATCATAAGTTAATGTAAAGTCGGGACCAGGCCTAGGGTGTGCAAAGAGTGCATTTGCACAAAAGCTCTTTTATTAAAAAATAAAAATTTAGAAAAAAACTGAGTTTTTTTTTTGTATTGACAATTAAGACTTGAAATTTTTTTTTTGTTCTGAGCCTTCTCAAACTTGGACTGGGCTTAGGACTTTTTTTTTTTTTAAGTAATAAGACTGATATTTATGTATTGTGGTGAATGGAGGAGGTAGCTAGTGGGCAATTATTAAGTTGAGAAAAGTGTATATTATCCAAATAATGATGGCAATATATTTGTTAACAATTATTAATTCAAGAATATACGTGGATGCCAATATCGAGGCAAAGTTCAAAGAAGATAATTTACCTGTAGAGGGATTATTTCCTCATACATAGTGCTACCTGCTACGCTACTACGATAACTTCGTTACTTTACTACGACGCTACGTTACTAAAAGAATATCGACCTACCCTTGTTCTTTACTATCATGTTTCATATATTAAATGAATAATGCAGTAAAAGATACTCTTGTTAAAAAAAACACGTAAAAAGAGTGTATAGTAAAAGAAAGAAAAAGCTTAGATGATCCTTGCGAAATTAATACATATGACTAGCTTGTTCGTTTTCTGTAGTAGATTTGTCTTTGTTTAGTAAATTTTGGTATTTCTGCT